TCGCATCTAACTCAACCCCATGCAACAAAAAATGATACTATGTGTTCATTATGGTCCAATCCTCCTCGACGAACAAGTACATAAGTGAAAATTTAGTCAAAGACGAGAAAACTGCAGAAGAAATTTGCCTTATTTACACGTATCGGCAATGCAAGCTGCCATGCGACTTCCCCTTCTGACGTCACAAGGAGAATTTCTGTATGCAAATAAGAAGCTAATGAGGAGCCTCGTTTTAAAATACACAAAAATAAAGTTGCCGTAGATTGAGTTTAAAACACATTTTTTCACTTAAAAAAAATAATTCATGCTTAGAAACATAAAAAAAATAATAATATTTATGTATCAATGGATAATTTTAGGCGTGAAAATAGCAGCCATTTCACAGGCACTTTAATACTGTTTGAAGAAATGTAAGTTGGTCACGAAAGTTCTTCACAAAATTGTAGTTGCAATAACCACGCCCATTTTAATGTTATAACGAGTTATAACTATAATGGTTTATGATTTACATGAAGTTCTCGGTTTAATGTTATTCAAAATTAGGTTAATGTTATGCGTATCTAGTAAGAGTTTTCTAATCCAGTGTCTTGTTACCATCGCAACAGTTGGGCTACAGCCAGGTATGTCCAAAATACTCGATCGCTGCTAAATTTGTGTACCACTTTTACTCACATTTTACTCATCTTTCAATTTCTGAACGTAAGTTTGCCTGTTTGTGTTTGGGGCGTCTACAATCTTCCTTATGATAACAAATCTCCTGTGATTGTCGTCGAAAGTAATCACGGGTTTGCTGATTTCACGATTTTCAACGAAGATGTGTACTATAAATTGTTGAAATGAAGATATTGTTTTTTGGTCTAGCAATAATTATCCTAATTTTAATAAACCAATCAAGAAGGTACTGTTGACAATTCAACTTGGACTTGAAGACAACAGTAATTAGCTGGTTGAAATGGCGACAATATTTTGTTTAAAATTGACACAGAGGTGATACAGACTTATTCAACTTATGCTAAATCTTGCCATGGGATGCTTGTTTTCGTGGATACCGCAAGGTATCCTGGGTGACACGCTTGGATAATGACCTCATCGGGAGGTCATGAGGTCATAATGGCTGACGGGGATGCTGGTGAGGGCACCCTATCCTCAAATAATCCCGATAGTAACAGTGAGCAGACCCCCGACCAGGGGAGCATATTAGAACCTGATAGTGATGTTCTTTTGCCCGACACACTCTCAGTCAGGGACAAAGACGAAACTTGTAAGTTCGTACTAATATATTCATCATAGTAGTACGGGTGTCGCTATATAAATACAGACAGGTACCTGCTAACGAACTAATGTTTGTTTTTCTGCCATCTCGTATATCCCCTCCAATGCTACGTATGACCATGGAGGTAGACAAGAGATCTCGGACTGGCATATCAGGATCGTCTTATCCTGAAAAAAATTCAAAACAAATAATGTTACGATGGTCAAATAAATATTTTGCATAGAAAAAAAACCCAAGGCTTGCGGAATGGGTCTCGGTAAATATTCAAAAATCATTATGAGGGGAGGCAAGGGGGGGGGGGTAGCTGTTACGGTTTTACGGGAAATAAAAAGGGCTTTTTACAATTTACAAGGGAAAAAAAAGACGTTTTTACAGTTTACAGTGTTAAAAAAAGGAACATTGAATGGTCCGAAGAGCTCTCCGACTCAAATTCTCCGCCATTGCTGCGCCGTGTGTAGAGATGCACGCGCATATTACCCTCGTAATGCTCTTCATTCGGTTGAGGGCCTTTTACGTCTCGACATTCAATTTTGTAGTGAATTGTGTCATCTAGTCGTTTTACAGTTTCTAAAATGTAATTTCCCTGGATTATTCTTTACGATTTTTTTATTTGGATGTAAATTTTTGTACGTACCGAGAAAAATTACACATTTTTACAGTGTGCGAAAAAAATATTTGATCGATTACGTTCTACGTCTAGCCTGTGATTACAGAATTACGGAATTTATTTTTTCAATTTACGTAAGTACGAACAAAAAATTATTGCAATTA